ACTTTTATCACAGCAGAGAGTCACTTTGCAAGAGCTCTTAAGTACTTTGCTTCAGTAAGTTTGGAAAAAGGGTTATGCATGTTTAATTTTCCACTAAAATCATGATCTATTTGGATCAAGTTTAAAATAACATAATTTTGGTCCCTAGCTGACTTTTCTAGATTTCTACTAAAAAAGGATTGTGGATGTTGGAAGCTGTAAACAATGAATGAGTGATTGAAAGGGACTGATGGCCAAAGGGGTTATGTGTGAACCGAAGATTGATCTGAGTATTTGGAGAGAATTGTGCTACATGAGAATGGTAGATAAGTACATCAGGAAAGGCAGGATCCTGTTCTCTAAGTGAAAGAGGAAAGGGAAGCCTGCGCGGTTGCCAGAGGCTATGAATGGATGTAGAAAATATATGTGTGCAGGTTACGCAAGTTATATCAGATCGTTTTTATACCTCTGTTAATTTAAACTCTTAAGATGTACCTGAAGCAAAACCTAATTAAAGCCTGAGGAACCAGAGAAATGTGCAACTTTAAATGATTGCTAGTTTAAGTTCAGTTTAAGTGAGAAGTTGTGGAGAAATGTAGAGATTGATCAGAATGATGGTACCCGGTGTAACCAGGATCCACCTCACTTTGATGATCCACACTGAATGAACTCGGTCTTATTTCCATAAGCCTGACTGGCTAATACTTGATTGGTATTCTGTTGCCAGCCTCGGCCCGCTCTTCGATAAGCCTTCTGCGTACACAGCAAGAGCCCTCAGCATGATCTCATTTCCTGTCTCCCCACCACCACAAACAAACGCCGTCAAAGAAACAATTGTTCTGCTCATGCAACCATTGTTCATGGAGCTGCTGTTGTCCCTCTAATATTCACTCACATTCGCAGTAGAAAAATGCCAAACGTGAAATCTTTACACAGAAACGCCTGCGACCATCAGTTCTGGATGTCGAGGGTACGGATGGTGCAGATGCTCAAAAACATAACCTGCCTGTAGAGTGGTGATAACTACAGCCAAACAAAGGCCTTTAATGTCAGACTCAGGCTTTTCTTTACAGGGAGCTTTGAATGTATAAATGCATGTGAGGGTGTGTAATCTGATGATTTATATCCACATACCTTTAGAAGATGTATAAAATATTTAAGTGCAGTTTATCCAGAAAAGTTCTCAGTAAATTCTTTGTAAGTATGGCTTTAGAATAACATGTTTATTTCTTTAACCTCTGGGTAGTTTATTGTTATTAATAAGTCAATACTTTGAACAAGGACACAAAATTAAATGTAATCAAAGCGGAGAAGTCATTTAAAAACCAGGTGGAAAACCATCCATTGTTAACACATTTGAAATGTTAGTTTTTTTTCTTTCTGTTCCTTTGATGCATCTTTCTTTTCAACATTAATCAGGCTTAACAATAGAATTTGTAGCAGCATGAAGCACTCGCTGCTTCCAGACGCCAGAAGCTATGGTATCGGGCTCTGAGATGTTTGCAGATGATCCTTTTACTCTTTGAAGGATTAAAGTTTGGACTTTTGTCCAGGACATCTGAAGTATTGTTGATTGGATCAGAGTTTTGGCACTCGGAGGCCATAATTAATTCCCCCAAATCTGATTTGCTCATCAAATATTTTGTAATTTATTTTCACCTTGTAGCAGGTTGCAATTATTTATATATTATTTCCTGCTGAAAGAAAGCAGTTATCAGTTACTACTAGTGTTGCACGGATGCTGATACTAGTATCTGGCACCGATACCGCACTAAAATGGTTGCCTGATAAACCAGACTAAATGTGAGATTTGGGTTATGAGTGGCCCACCAGTTCTAGGGCCTCGGGCATTGATCGAGGCTAGACTACCCGCAGGCAGAAATGATTTTTGCCGCTGGTGGGTGGGGCTGGTTTACTAGGCTACAAAAATGCTGGTAGCTATATTGGTGACTACCGACAAATAGAGCACTGGTACCATTTTGATATTGCCTACCAGGTAGGCAATAAAAAGTTCTACTGGATTCACTTTGTATTAGTCTTTTTCCTGCTTCACAAAGGTAGGCAGCAGCTTGACAAAGCAATGATGGCAAATATTTTACATCCAAGTAGCATGAAGTTCTTTATATATATATATATATATATATATATATATATATATATATATATATATATATATATATATATATATATATATATATATATATATATATATATATATATATATATACATACACACACATCAATTTCAAACATATGACGGTATTGGTATCGGGTGATACTGCACGGCCAGGTATCGGTATCTGGGCCATAAAATGGCATTGGCGCAACACTAGTTACTGCTTAAGGATATAAGAGTGTAGCTCACCTGTTGGATCAGACCTCACATGCCAAGCTTTCACTTCACACACAGATCGGTGTGCCGTCTCCACCACGACCCTGTCGTTGGTTGACCACGGCTCTCTGCTCAAACATGTTTTAAATAGATGACTACAAACCCCCCACTAGAGCTACGTTCTCTGGAGATGATCTGAACCAGTAGTTTAGCCCATTTGCCCAGTTTTCTTGATTCTATCTAACCAACTTTGAAGGAAGAAAATGCATCCCCCTTACGAACGGGCGCAGTGAAGGAGAGATAGTGAGTGTTATTCACCTGTCAGTGTCTGTATGAACGTTTGAGTTGATGCTGGTTAATATATCAGCATGTTGTGGTGAGTTTTGAAGCTGAAACATTGTGGTTGAATATACTTCTGATTGAAAGCTTTCCCAGACACAGCACCTGCTCCCTCTGATCTACATAGATGAAAAAGAGCTGTGCTACATGTGCTGGATGTGTTGGTGCTGAAATATTTAGCTTCTGTCCTCAGCCGAAGAGGGTCAACTCACCCAGCCTCGCTGCTCTTCATGTCTCTCTTCTTGCCTCCATCAGGCCGCTGCTGTCTGTCATGTACGATAATCATCAACATTTCTGTCCCTGCGAACACTTTCTGCCAACACTTGTACAGAGATATTAGTGATTATGAGCTGTGCACAGAGCAGGACATAGAAGTGTGCTCTGCAGCCTTTTAGGATATTTACTGCCAGTCGGAGCCTCAGACGCTAAATTGGAAATGATTGCTTTCCTTCTCCTGTCCTTTGGATGTGTAGAGCTTAATTTGTGATTCACGTTATTTATTTAGTATATTCAGGTTTGTATGTGTAATGGGATTTAAATTGATGATAAAGAAAAAAAAAATGTTTGCTATAACAGGTAACTGTAAGCAAATAAGAAAACCTGCCTGCAGTGCAGGAAGTTGAACAACACCCGTGACATTGTCACTGTAGCTTGAGTCTCACTCTTTGTTGTGTTGGAGTACCTTTCTAAAGCTCTGAGCAAAGGGCTCAGCCTTGTTTACCTGGGTTCTGTGATGCAGAGAGACAGCCGAGTTCTGAGCTTTCTGAGGATGGGCCTGTGTTTACCTACGAGCTAGAAGCAGACCCATGTACTGACCTCCGAGGACAGATGTCCTCACATCCCTCTTTTGGCGCACGCTGCAGAATGTACCCTCGCCACTACTTCTCTGATTAGAGTTAATCAAACGGACAGTTGCCTTGTGACAAAGAAACATGCTTCCAGCCTGCGTGGCCACATGCTCTGATTATCTGTAGGGTGACCCGCATCGTTCTAGCCATTGGACGGCTTCTTCTTCATGGAGACTGTTCCCTTTTGAAGGACAGGAGAACAGCCTGGAGTTTTGGATACTCGTCATTAGTATGGATTCAAACTGGGTTTGAAAATTAGGAAAACTCCAGTTCTTCAATAACCTTGATGGTTCTTACTGTGTGGTCCCAAACCTATCAATATTTGTCAACATGTGGAGACGCCCAAGAAATACATAAGCTGGGATGCTATTTCCGTTTTGCATGCTTTTAGATGTTTCTCTGCTAAAACGGTTAATCAGCCAGCAATGGAAACCAGATGCACAAAATCTGGGAAACATTTACAACCTGCAGGATTGGGACTTTTGAGGACCAGAGTAGAAAACGCTGAGTTAGATAACATTATAGTAACACTAAGGGTCTAACGGTTAAGCAGAACTGACGGACATGTTTCTGCGGCTACGAGAGGCATGACTGACAGCTATTAATAGGTGTGATTTCTACCAGTGAAATATGGCTAATGATTACACTTCGTAACTGAGGTGTTTTCACTCTTAACCTTCTGGAAAGGTTTAACAGTAATCAAATTCCACTGATATTGATGCAGCTCTTTGTTTTCTTTTAATGTTTTTGCTGTAAAAACAACAAATGAAGGAAGTAGTTGGGATTACGGACTGTTTCTTCTAAAGACATAACTCCTCTATTCACTCTGAAAATGAATTAAAACAACCTCTATCTTAGTAAGGTTTAATTATTTACTTATTCATTTATTTATTTTAATTTCTTAAAATAAGATTGACTCCACAGAGGATCGTTAACTCTGCTTCAGATGTTCGTTTGTATCAAACTCAAATCAGTTTAGAATTCACATTTCCCGTGGGGCCTTGCTTTAATTTGTAACTCAGGTTTCAGAACAGCATTTCCATTCTTACATTTCTGGTTTAAAATCCCTAAAAATGGTTTTGATGAGCGTTGCTCTCTCCGCCCCCCACAGATGTTAATATTTCATGCTGCATTTAATTCATCAAATTAATATCTCCCCTAAGGTTCGGTAATTTTAATGTGTTTGAATAAAAGCAATATAAAACCCTGATATTCATCAGTGACTGGGTTTTACTGTTTGCAAACAAAAACACATTTCTACTGTTGCACGATTTCAAGTTAATGGCAATAAAAACAGAGTTTAAATTAAGACATGAATAAAAAAATGCATAAAATCTTTTACAATCTTCTCCATTAGATAGTAATACAAGAGCTGCTCTTCTGATTCATAAAAATGTCTTAAGATCATTATAATGTCACTTATAGAAACCAGGTCCGCCCTGTTGTTCAGCCCTTCTTTATTTGTAGGAGACTCACCAGTTTATCTCCTTGTCTGTTCGCAGTATAACTTTGTGGGAAGAATCCTTGGTCCCCGGGGACTCACTGCCAAACAGCTGGAAGCAGAGACGGGATGCAAAATCATGGTGCGGGGAAAGAGCTCCATGAGAGACAAGAAGAAGGTAAGCTCATCAGCCTGGGGTGGACAGAAAGGGATTCCCAGATTCTTCATTACTAATCCAGCATTTTGCTTTGCAACAAACTCTAAATAGGCTCATGTTCCCCTAACTATGATTTAGTATCTCATTGGGAATGTTACTCCACATTGGGAAATTTGGGGGTATGCTGGTCACACCAGAACCCTACAGTAAGCCTTCAGGTACCATGAGCCGGGTAGCTCTCTGTAGATGAGGCTGTCTGACGTCTGATAGTGCTGTTTGTAAAACGAAGTAGAAATGCAGGAGGCAGTCGTAGTGGCTGATGCCAGGGGCAGCATCTGTATCTGGAGCTTCTGTGCTAAGATTGGAAGCATCAAAATAACCTGATGCAGTCTTAAAAAAAGGTTTTTAAGTATTTTTTCCTTCTGAAGCCTTCATAAGATTCACACCATTAAAAAATAAAGCTGAAATCAGATCATTTAATTTTATGCACTGTATCATACTACAATCATGGAAACTAATGTAATATTCAACCTTTGGATACCTTTGTTTTAGTGCTTAAGCAGTTTGCAGTACATACCTGAACAGACACGTACATCTCTATCAGTGGTTCCTCATCTATAATCAGGGTTTCCACGGGTCATTAAAAATCGTTAAGTCAGTAAAATTTAATTTTAAATAAAGCATTTTAAATGGTTTATGTAAAAAAAGTTTATAAAAACAATTTCATCAGATATATTATATCGCAATATACCGTATTTTCACGACTATAAGGCGCACTTAAACGTCTTTTTTTCCCCTCAAAATGTGCGGTGCGCCCTATGTGTGTTGTAACTGCGACTTTTGAGACCACCTCATTGAGGAGATGATGAAAGAGTGGCTGAATGTAAGGAGACCAGGTGTTTTTTTTTTCCACTCATCACCATCGCTGTTAATATGTAACTCCATGCGTGCCCATCTCACAGCTGATGTGAAAAACATGGGGAAACAAATTAACCCTGTGCTCGCTGTTCAACCGTGCGACATCGGTGTGAACCGGACCCAGCAGGTGCAGCAGAAGCAGCGAGTTTACATGCAAAGTAAATGGTTGACGCGCGTATAGGTGCAGCAAAAGGTCCTGCAGCGCGTTTTGAGCAGCAGGAGCGTTTAAGCATCTGCCAACGCGCTGCTGCTGCTCGAGATGGAAAAATTGAAGTTTTGCTGCTGGACGCGCCGCATCAACCAATCAGAGAAGCTGATCTGGGAGCTGACAGCGAGACAGACACAGCGCTCTGATGACATATGATATTAAAGCAAATGGAAAAGGCTGGATGGATGAGGAGATGATGAAAGCGTGGCTGAGGCAGGTGTATGTGAGGAGACCAGGTGGTTTTTTCCACGCATCACCATCGCTGCGTGCCCATCTCACAGCCGATGAGAAAAACATGGTGAATCAAATGGATAGGCTACTGTTCTCGCCGTTATCCCGGGGGTCTGACAAAGGAGCTTCAACCGCTCGACATCAGTGTGAAGCGGCCGTTCAAAGTAAGGCTGCGAGCGGCGTGGGAGCGATGGATGGCCGACAGAGACCACAGTTTCAGGATAAGTGGAAGGCAGCGCCGGGCAAGTTACGCCACAGTTTGCAGATGGATTGCAGATGCTTGGACTAAAGTGTCTGCTGGCTCTGTTGTTCAAGCTTTTGCAAAAGCCGGCATTATTTCTGAGGAGCTGCGCTGCACGGAAAGTGACTCTGACAGCGAAGAAGGGGAAATTGGCATGTCTGATTTAGCGCAGCTGTTTAATTCAGAAACAGAGGATGATGACTTTGATGGGTTTGATTAATACTTTGTAATAAATACATGAATAAAGCACAAACATACTCAGTTTTGCTCCCGCTCTATTTTTCTACCTGAAAACTTAATTCAACAGCAGCCTCTGGGCCGGGTCTCCTCCATTTCACCGCGGTGGCTGGCAGGTGTTTTTTCATCTAAATAATCTAAATCTTGCAGCTATATTTGCTGTGATCAGTGGGAATAAAGTAGTTTTAATATGTTTTTAAGTGAGAAAGTCCACCTGAAAACTTAATAATTGCAGTCAGTTCATCCAGATTATCTATTTCTGTCGGAGGCGCTCAGACCCCCACATACCAGCGGTGCGCCGACAGCAGAAATCCTTTCATCAGCAGCCTCTAGGCTGGGCAGCCTCCAGGTTCACGCGGTGGATGGCAGGTGTTTTTCATCTAAATAATTTAAACTGCAGGCACCAATAAAAGCGAACATATTCCGTCGGCAGGTTTCAGGATTTTAAGTTAATTTAGGAGTGATCACAGCGCTGTGTCATCTGCGATGTGTCTGTCTCACGGCCAGCTGCCAGGTTTGATTAATACTTTTTAATAAATACATGAATAAAGCACAGTCATACTCAGTTTTGCCCCCGCTGTATTTTTAAATACGCAGTAGAGGTATTTAAAGGTAGTAGAGGACTTGTACCTGTATATAAAAAACGCGCCCTATAGTCCGGTGCGCCTTATGTGTGTGTTAAATACAGAAATGGGACACATAACTGAGACTGCGCCTTTTAGTACGGTGCGCCTTATGGTCGTGAAAATACGGTATTTGCGCGGAACGGCTTCCGGTTGATTGTAAAGCCGAATGTACGGAAAAGAAGCTCGCGGCGGACAAAAAAAACTAGAGAATGGGGAAAAATGCTAATTTCAACAAAAGTGACTAGAAAACGAGGAATTCAGGACGTGGAATTCAGGATAGATGGATAGATGGATGGATAGATATATTAGTCATGGGTACTTGTTGATTGCATTAGAATTCTTTCTAATAGCCTTAAAATAGAGTTTGGGGCCAACTACAGAAAGGGCTCCGTCCCTCTGGTTTTAAGCCTCGTCTTAAGTACTATTAGGTGCAGATGTGAAGATGGCCCTCATAGCATGTGCCGGAAAGTAAACCTGGAGGAGATTGGTAATGTATTCAGGAGCCATCCCATTCAAAGCTCTAAATACAACGATAATATCTTAAAATCAATTCTAAAATGAACAGGGAGCCAGTGCAGAGACGCAACAATTGGCGTAATGTGTTGATATTTTCTGGTTCGCGCTAAAAGACGAGCCGCAAGATGCATCATAGCATCTCTGTACGCTGTCCCTTTGAAAAGCATGTAACATAAAAATGAATAGAAATAAACACATGTACTATATGTAATTAATTTATGGTTCGATCTAGCGATTAAAATGTTTAGATCAAATATTGAAAAAAGGACAGTAATTCAATAAGATGCACCTTAAGCAGAGCATTTTATGCCCCCTGTTTGCTCTGCTCTGCCAGACAGGGGAGCTATATTACAGTGCATTCAACTAAGTCAGAGCTTTCTATGGACTGGCGGGCACCTTCTCTGCATACACCCCCACCCCATCGGGAAATCCTGACCGTCCCCAAGTGGATGAAAACACAAAGCGACACAGAATTTCAGTTGAGTCATAATCTTAGAAATGCCACTTTGCTGCAGGGGCACAAATTTCATCCCTATTCTTCTCTCTCCTGCCTCTGTCATTTTTATCCATCCCCCCATTTCTTTCCCTGGAATATGTTTTATAGCAGAGTGTGTTGAAGACGCCCCTCAAGGTTTATTTTTACTTTGAATTGAACTCTGAAATGGTTAAATGAGAGAGAATCATTAAGCAGACACGTCTTCAGACACATTCTTTAGATATTAGTCTTACTTCATTACAGAAATCTATGATTTTGTACCTAATCTCCATCTCTTCTGAAGCTTAATGATGCGTGGCAGTTTAAGTATTTCTTGTGTGTCTACAGCTTCGGTCTGGCTGACAGAAAGCACATTATACTCAAAAAGAGTTGACAGATGCACACAAAAGGCATAGTTTTTCTTTAGAGATTAGATCAAGTGACAGGATGAGCTAAAATCTAAAGTATATTACCTTCTTCAGGATATTCCTTTCTATATTAGCAACTTATGAGGTTTTATTGGAAACGGGTTCCTTTCCACTACTGATGCACTTATTGGTCTTTTCCAACCTGATAGTAGTTTTCCCAAGGTCTGGTCTTCTGATTTTAATGCTGCTTGAAAGCTGAATCTTCATGATATTTGTGTTTATAAAAATACAATATTTAATCTTGTTGTGCTCCTGCTTTTCTGTTCCAAATCAACCCAAAAAGGGCTGGCCAATCATGTTGCAGTATTATGGTTTAAGGCAGGTTGTATAGCTGTGATGGCAACAAAAAAAAAAAAAAAAAGAGCTCAAAATAAACATGGAAGCACGGGAGGACGTACGCGTAACTGCCGCTGTCACATCCATTTTTTTTAAATCCACAATTTCATCTTTAAAGAGTTGAAAGGGCTGTAGGGTAGTCTGGTATGGTCTCTGCTGCTGTTTCGTTTGTAGGAGGGCTCCAGGTGTCGCTTCACCCAGTCAGCTCAAATTGTCTGCTAAATGTCCCTCCCTTCCCACATTAATATTGCACAAAACAAAACCTGATGTTAAACGTTAGAGGCTGTCTTAAACTGTTTTCTTCTTCTTCCTCCATTCATACGTTTAAAAAAATGCAACAATAACAATTGTTACCAAGTGTGAGATTAAATGAAAAAGAAAAATTCATTAACAAATAAATCAAAACAATAACAGTGGAAAGCAGTTAGCGGCTGACCTCGATGCACAGCTGCTGGATGCACTAATAAAACGGCCGACACATTCACATATCGGCTGATACAGACACAGGCAAAAACAACAAACAAAAACGTTAATATCAGCCAAAAGTATATGGCTGATATATATCCCACACTGATATATATATATATAATACATGTTATCAATCTGGCTGTCAATCTTGCTTCTGATTCACATTCACTTTTTCCTAAGGTCTGTAACACAACAGGATAAAATGTTGGTTCTTTTAAAGCAGAGGAAGTATTTTCTGGAGGATATATAGAAGAATTACAAGATTATCTACATTTATGCATCATTAAATATGCCTCTAGCCCCTTTTTTGAAGTTGCATCAAAGAACAGAGCTAAAG